TAGATAGATACACCTACAATCTCGATCCATCGAGATTTATTGTGATTGGTCTGATCGGTAGCGATTAGATTGTAGGATGAACCATCGGTTGGACTCTACCCCCGCACCTCAGGGTTCTCCACAGCCACTGCCACATGTGTCAGGCCAGTGCCGACCTCGTAGTTGTCTACTCCGTAGTTGTAGGTGAGCTCCAAACCTCAAGGCAGCCACAATTCAAATCATCGAAAATCTGGCTCTCTAGGTCGCCTGGCCATCAGAGGGCACACCGTGTGGGGACCTTGTTGGAAACCTGCTGGCACATGATTTTCCGCAAAGTCAGAGAGAAAGATGAATGAAGCGTTAAGCGCAAGCTCAGAAACAGAAGCTCTCATCCTCTGGGCCATATCCAATCATAGTTTTTGACCAAGGCGTGTCAAACTCTCCGTTGCACGTGATGGCACAGGGTTTTTCGAACTCCTCATGCCTCAAGACCTTCATGCCGAAGATGCGAGTGAAGAAACGTAGGTTGGCTTTAACGTCAGTCGTCCTCCGAGCTGCCAGAGCTGCATTGGCCAAAAAGCTGGAAGAAAATAGAAGGGGCTTTATTTATCTTTGTTTAATGCATTAGCATGCTATATGAATTCATACAGCGTATGTAAATGGTTTCTGGTGTCTTTCTCTGTCACAACGAACATTGGGGCCACTGCCCTCACAGTCTTCTCTGTCCTAATCACCCAGTGCGCGGGCCGGCTCTTGGAAATGAGTTCCTGCGCGGGGCCGCATTCCCCTACACAGCCAGTGCATCCCTCTCTCTGTATCCGTTTGTGATCTGATCCCATAAAATCTGTTGTAGCACTTCTACACCATTTTGTTCGTGGGCCTGCGGCAAAATCCGCAAAATCTCATATATTCCCTGGAAGCTAGAAGACTCTACCAGCCTTGCTGTCGACTGGCTTCACCATCAAGTCTCCCAGGGCTGGTCGCGAGGCCGCTGCTACAGCTTTGCACGTGGCCTCGGTGCGAGCACATGTCGGAGGCATAGAATTTGCCGGGGGAAGTCTCAACGGTCTCAAAAACCGGCGCAATGCCCAGACGCGCCCCAACTGTTTGTTTCCAAAGGGGTTGAAATAGAAAGTGTGCTCTTCATGGTACAAGCATTGGACAGGTCAAAGCGAACTTGCCATAGGAACCATTCAGTCATATCGAATCTACGCTTTGCCAACCGGTACATTTATATTTGTACGCAAGTGTGCAATGTGTGCCCGCACATCTTCCGTCACACATAGCCTGTATGTGTGCATGCATTGATGGATGAATGCCAGATAATGTACAATGATAATGTACAATGATGCATACAGGGGCCCAAGCTCTACTCCGCCTTCTGGCAGTGGCAGCTGCTACTCCAAGGGCCACTGCACCTTGTTGCCAAGCCAACCCCTTTCAAGTGCTCGCAGCAGGCAAAAAAAAGTAGGAAATTGTTTAGGGATGTGTTTTAAGTTTAGCGTTTTTTTGTGGATTCCTGGCGGTGCCTATGTTCCATGCTATTTGCAGCATTTGGGAGCTGGCACGTTCCATTTGCAACATTTTGGAGCTGGAACTTCCATTTTCCATGCTATATTTGCAGCATTTGGGAGCTGGAATCTTCCATGTTGCAAGCCATTTGCAACATTTTGGAGCTGGAACTTCCATATACTTCCATTTTCCATGCTATTTGCAGCATTTGGGAGCTGGAACCTTCCATCTTGCAAGCCATTTGCAACATTTTGGAGCTGGAACTTCCATTTTCCATGCTATTTGCAGCATTTGGGAGCTGGAACCTTCCATGTTGCAAGACATTTGCAACATTTTGGAGCTGGAACTTCCATATACTTCTATTTTCCATGCTATTTGCAGCATTTGGGAGCTGGAACCTTCCATGTTGCAAGCCATTTGCAACATTTAGGAGCTGGAACTTCCATATACTTCTATTTTCCATGCTATTTGCAGCATTTGGGAGCTGGAACGCTCCATATTGCAACACATTTGCAACATTTTGGAGCTGGAACTTCCATTTTCCATGCTATTTGCAGCATTTGGGAGCTGGAACCTTCCACGTTGCAAGCCATTTGCAACATTTAGGAGCTGGAACTTCCATATACTTCCATTTTCCATGCTATTTGCAGCATTTGGGAGCTGGAACGCTCCATATTGCAAGCCATTTGCAACATTTTGGAGCTGGAACTTCCATATACTTCTATTTTCCATGCTTTTTGCAGCATTTGGGAGCTGGAACCTTCCATGTTGCAAGCCATTTGCAACATTTTGGAGCTGGAACTTCCATTTTCCATGCTATTTGCAGCATTTGGGAGCTGGAATCTTCCATGCTGCAAGCCATTTGCAACATTTTGGAGCTGAAACTTCCATTTTCCATGCTATTTGCAGCATTTGGGAGCCATTTGCAACATTTTGGAGCTGGAACTTCCATATACTTCTATTTTCCATGCTATTTGCAGCATTTGGGAGCTGGAATCTTCCATGTTGCAAGCCATTTGCAACATTTTGGAGCTGAAACTTCCATATACTGCACTTCTATTTTCCATGCTATTTGCAGCATTTGGGAGCTGGAACCTTCCATGTTGCAAGCCATTTGCAACATTTTGGAGCTGGAACTTCCATATACTGCACTTCTATTTTCCATGCTATTTGCAGCATTTGGGAGCTGGAACCTTCCATGTTGCAAGACATTTGCAACATTTTGGAGCTGGAACTTCCATTTTCCATGCTATTTGCAGCATTTTTTAGTTACAACTTTCCTTCCCGCATGCTACGTGCAACATGTTACATGTTGGAGCTGGAATCTTCCATTTGGCATGCTATTTGCAAGTTGTTGTTGGTTGTTGGTTATTGTTGTCTGTTAGTTGTGGGTTCTTGTTTGTTTTGTTAGTTTTGTTGCACTTGTAGTTGTTGTAGTTGCTGTAGTTTTTGTGGTTGTAGTTACAGTTGTCGTTGTAAAGTCGTTTTGTTGTTGTTGTTGTTGTTGCTGCTATTGTTGCTGTTTTTGACTGCCATGGTTCCGTGCCAGACTCATGGCACATGGGTGAAACCGTGGGCATGCGACGGCGATATTCAAAATTGATGGCTTCTTGCAAGTTCCAACAATTTGTGATTTTGTTCCACAGTGTTTTCGAACGTTCCTCTTTCAATTTTTTCCCAAGCATATCTACTAGTATACTATAGCCACTGTTGCCTGGGACCTACCATACCATGGCCACTGTTGCCTGGGACCCCCCACTCTCCTTTTCCCAACATTGTAGTTGACCGCAGAATTACGTTCATAATAACTAACTCTCCTCAAGGGATCACTGTTGTTCGATCGCAAAATATGTACAGCAAGCTTCGCTCAACTATCTTTTAGTAAATCCGAGAATAGTTTTATTTTGCTAGGTGTCCCAGGTGTGTGGCCGATCTCTTCATTTGCCTTTCGCAATACATCTTCGTCTGTATTTGAATGGTTGACAAAAGTTATGCTGAGACCCAGGGTTTTACGTAGGCCCCGCAATTGAAATGCATTCACTTTCTTTTGTTGCGTTTGTGTAGGTGTACTGCAGCTTCCATCTAGAAGAACAAACTGTTGTCTTCCAGAAGGTGCCCAATCTGAACCACGTTTTCAATGTCTGGTGGATTTTGTGGTGTATCACGTGTTTCACGTCAATTTCCTGCGTGATTTGGTGTCCAAGGTAGGTCGTTTTTTCTACTCTGTTCAATTTCTGTCCGTCTCCAAACTTGACCACGTTGCCGTTCATACAGATATAAATGATATAACAACATGTGTTCCTATTCAAACGTAGGCCAAACTGTTTTGAAACTCCCTCAACTTCAGCTAACAATCTATTCGTCGCCGCGCTATTGGTGGAAATCAAAACAGTGTCGTCGGCACAATAAATTCTTCGGACAGGTAGTTTATTGGGATTTCTCCTCTGGTATGCAGTATCTAAGTTCAAAGCCACATCTCTATCCACGACGGACATAAGTAATACTGTTGCTATTGTTGTTATTGTTGCTATTGTGGTTGCTATTGCTGTTGCTGTTGCTCCTGTTGGTAGCGGTGGTGGCGGTGGTGGCGGTGGTGGCGGTGGTGGTGGTGTAGGTGGTGGTGTAGCTGGAGGAACACACCAACAACTGTTGATATTGTAGTCTTTGTTTTGGTGCAGGCCATGTTTGTGATTTCCTTGTCCTTGTAGCTCTGGTTGCGGTGAACACCAACAAAACCATGAAGTCAAGAAGCCCGTAAAGCTTTGCAAAGCCAAGAAGAAAGAAAACTGGCGAAAGTATCAAGTTAGGCAAAACCACATAGAAACAAACAACAGAGTTTGCGTGGTATTTGCGATATTTTCAGCATTCTGTGCCATTTTACCCCCCTCATTCATCCAAGCTGCCATGCCATCGCTGTTTGTGGCTTTGATAACTTGGTGCAGATGAAGCTTGCCTGGTCGATCTAGAACTCAGGGCCTCAAAACAGGACACTGGATGTCGGGTGGAAAGTTGACCTGCAGCAATCTACAACTGTTGCAATTGGGTTGTTCTCAAAATGGGGACATCCATGGACATCCCCATTCCGATGACAATTCTAATAATGCTACGGTATAATGATGATAGACAATGGGATTTGATCGTCCCAAATATTGAGACAAATCCTCCTGTCAACTGCTGGCAAGAAGTGTCTCAATGATGCCTGCGTCAAAGTTGGTGATGTTGCGACAAAGGTCACGTCCATGGCCGAACAGCGCGATGCAGATACCCTACAATTCCAGACTGTCGAGGTCGCCCTTCTCGAGTCACAAAAAAGTTCTGCGGACAGCATAAAGCATCCCCGGTGCTCGGATGACCCCTAAGACAGTAGGTTTCAAGTTAATATATTGCAGTTCTATGTTAAGTCAATAGGTGTCAATAGATGTCTATAGTATTTCTTAGTGAATGCAGCCCGTCCGGAAGCTCTTCCAAGGCTCATGAGCCCCCCATCATCCCCCATCAAGGCTTGCCCAAGGCGCGGCCATCACCGGGCTGCGCAATCTGTGGCAAAGCAGTCAGAGCCGCTGCTCGCTCCTTGGATGGATCATGGATGGATCGTCATTTATCAAGCGTGGCATGCGACATATGGCATATATGGAAGCAGAACAAAGATGAGCAGTGTGCGCCCGAACATCATTGCACATCATTACAAGCTATAGCAGCTATATAACATGCGCTAGCGCACCCTCGTCGTAGCTACACAACACGACGTTAGCTGCTTGCCAGCCAAGATACTACAAGCCTTCCATTCTTAATTGCATCATAAAGTTTCTCGCTGACAACTAGTGCCTCGGGCACATCATGACATTTGAAGTAAAAACGGGAAGGAATAAATGAATTGAAATGTGTGAGTGGATACATACATATATAATGGCATGCTTTCGGTGGGATCGGGGCACTGCGCGATTTGCAAACCAAAGGTGCTGAAACTTCCAGCTCCCGGCCGGATTCACAAAGTGAAGCCACAATTTCATCGTCCTCCACCACTCGCATCTCAACGGAGATCCTGGTCATTTCCACTAGGGGGAGGAAATCAGATCACGTCACATCAAGAAATCGCATTGAATGTTGCTGATTCACTCCGAAAGGAAAGATAATGAAAAATGCACCCATGGTTACCGAGATTCTTCAAGCACATGTAGGGAACCTTGGCACTCAGATGCTTGTGCGAACGAGACGGCAAAAACTCTGCTCAGTAAAACGCAACAGCGCTCCGATCCACATCATTGAGCCAACCCGTCAAATCCGTGGCGGCACTTCGTAGCACCCGGGGATGACTGAGACACAAACCTTCCAGCTGGATGCCACCAAGGATTTCAAGTCGGCTGCTGATTGTTCGGGCTTCACCTGTCAGCTTGGTAAACATCAGTTTCCAGCTGACTGCTGAGCTCTGCTGAGTGCGCACCCAGCCTGGAAGTGAAAATAACGCCCAGACAGATTTAGCACGGACACGTCAATCACCCCCATGGCGAATATGGTTCCCCTCCAGGGCTGCGGCTAGCGGCGTTCCTGGGTCAGATGTCGCCAGCTTGCAACAAGCCAGGGAACCATGGCTTTGAGCCTTCACAGCAGAGGACGGCACCAAAAAAAAAAAACTGGCCTGTTTCCAATTCCACCAACTTACTGCAGACATTTCACCAACATTCTCGAGCCGGCCTGCAACACCCCAAGTGACAGTGATGCCTGACTATGCCTGGGAGTTCCTTCACGATTCTTGGCCCATCAAGGTTCAATATCCGGCAGCGATGTTGACCGGCACAGCAGTCTGGGGGCCGAACTGGGCAGCTGTACCAACCTCGTGAAAGTTGCTGCAGAAGCTAGAAGTGGCCAGGCTCATCTTCCAGACCCTGTGAGCTACAACCCCCAGCAAATATACACAATGTCAAACGTATAACCCCCTCCAAGGAAAAGATGCATAAACTGTCAACATAACATGTCATAACAGCCCAGCTAGATCATCAAACTAAGATATAAAAGCATATAAAGGCCAACTGAAATTTGATCCGAAGAGCTCAGATGTCAATTACGGTGGTTTATTGATTGTTCTTTACCGTTATATATAACTATGTATACATACATATATATATACACACATAATATACGTCTGTGTGTTGGTTAGGGGGCTTCAGGCTACAGGACTTGGAGGGCATGGCCACATCTCACGCCCGCTGCCCGAGGCGGCAGCCTGAGCCTTTTTCTTTGCTCCTTCCGCAGGCGTTCAACATGTCAATGACTTGATGTCAACTCGGGATTGGTAAAGACCTATAGGACCTATATATTTTTTTCACAAGAGCACATTGGGCTCCCAGCAGCTTCCGTGCACAGCTTAAAAAAGGGAGATGCCCCAAGTTGTGTTGGGCGAGGACTGTTGAGAAAATCGTTTTAAATAAATTAAAAAGTTAAATTAGCAGGCGATAAATTGGGAGTGAGAACAACACCTTTAAGACGCATGATATCCGGTCAGGCTGAAAAGATTGAGACGGATTCAAGAGAGGAAATAAGAACCCGAAACCGGCATCAGGAAAAATATCTAACTATGTCTAAGATCAGCGAGCACTAAAGAATCACTACATTAAAGACTTCAGAAAATTGCACTGGAGGAAAGGAGGAAAATAGAAGGCGATAGAGCGACGGCCTACGATACGGGCAACAGGCGCAACATCCTGAGCAGTACCACGAGCATTACCTCGAGAGGCCAGAGGCCTTTGTGACAAAGTCCCAAGCGTCAATGTATAGATTCATTGTGTTGCAAAGGGTCCAGTTCTGTCTCTTGCTGCTTGTTTTATGTAATATTAAATAATATTCCTACATAGTTTCTTAATACAGGAATATGGGTGGGGGTACTACACAAAGGAAACCCACCGCCCATGAGTAAACGGGGCTTTACCAATCCTGAGTTGCCGTTGAATACTTCTACCTTGATAGCATGAATGCCAGGCTACCTTTGTAGCTAATTGTTCTGCTTGCAGGCGGCTGCAATGGCATGTTCAATTTCGCAGTAGACATGGGCATATGTGGCAGATCTGGGTCCGAAATCAAAGTGTTTGCAGCACATCCACCGTACTTCCATTGTACTTGGGCTCTCACTTGTAGGTTTCTACTTCTGATTCTGTTCTTCACAGGTTCTTAACATTTTCTAGCATGGCGACCTCTGGTACCACACGTGGCTCCTGCCAGCACCTCAGCAAGGGATTGCGCATCTTCAAACTCCACCTGATGGCAATACAGCAGAGCGGAGCTGAGCTGAATCTCTTGCACCGTTCGAGGCGAGAAAAAAAAGAAACTAATTACCCTCTGGTTTTTTTAGCGTAGCTATGGAAAATCACCATTTGTAAGGGGTAAATCATCATGAAACATCTGTAAATGGGCCGTTCTCTATAGCTATGTCAAATAAACGGAGGGGGTATAATATTATATATATATATCTGTGTGTGTGCGTGTGTATGTGTTTCATATATATATATAGATGATATATATATATATATACATACACTATACATATATATGTATATATATATATTGTATAGTTATATGTATTTGTATCTATATACAGTAATGTATTTAAAAAACATGCCTATTTCGCTTCATTGTGTGGCAACGCATATTTGAAAACAGTTTCTGTTCGTCAGCGCTAAACAATTTCGATCGGCTCCACCAGCCCCTTTAAATCTATTAAATTCGCGCAGTCAATCTCATCTTGCTAGGGCCCTTGCTGGCACCCCACTCCAAGAGTCCTTCCTCAGAGTCAAGCTCGCATATCCACACTGATGAAAGTCATGGCAAAATTCTTTCAAAAAAATGTTGCACATCCTCCATGGTCACTTCAACACTATCACTTCAACATGAGTCTGGGACGACGCGTCCGAGTCAGTGGCAAGTGGGGCCTCCTGAGCTGGAAGCACCAGCAAAATCAATCTGGAAAGCTGAAGTTGGATGAATTTCCACTGTCTAAGAAAGATTATGTACAAGGATGCAGTCATATCTGAGAAGCACCGGATAAATCTGAGTAGATCTGAATCTGAATGCAGCATGGAACTAAAGCAAGGAAATCATGCACAAACCCTGGAAGGGCGGGAAAAAAGCGGAGCTCCTCCTCTTCCTCTTCGCTATCCGAACCCCAGCTTGATGACGAGTCCTAGCATTTCGTGCAACTTCAGCTCCGAGCCTTAAGAATCTGAAAATGGAAATGACAGAGATGTGACTGAACTTGACTCACATTGACTCACCACGCTCCTCATCGTCCTCTGAGAAGCCTCAGCACCAGAGATGGCCACGTCCGCTGTCACCCAACAGGACTTTAGAACAGCATTGATAAGGCATCTTTGAAAGATAATTAAACTTGTGCACTCGCCAAGGCTTCCAACTCAGAAAGATGGCCACATTCAGAAGAGAAGTATAGAAGTGATAAATAGTACCGCAGAAAAAAAAACAGCTGAATCCGGTGGCTGCCTTCTTCCTCATCCACCGCTGAAGATGCTGCCGCCTGCCTCAACCCGGTGGAGCATTCCGATGTGTCGCTGGTGGATCGATATTTAGCATACTCTTTCGATGCTTGTGATTCTGAGCCATAGAGCGACTTGAAATTCCATATCTTGCCAGGGAGAAAGTGGCAATTCATGGAAAAAACATGAAAAAACCATTCTGCAGTCAACTGGTAGCCCAACAAACTCAGGGTTGTCGGACTTTGTGGCTTTCTGTGGCAGATTGGTGGATGAAGAGAAATCAACAACTCGCCACAAGCAAGCCTACGAGCAATATCAACAAGATTGACAGCCCGCAACCCAGCAGCATTTCCACCTAAGCTGGCAACCCATCAAAGTGGTAGGCGGGACAAATGTCGACTAGCCAACTGTGTGAACGTACTAACAATGATCAGCAATTTGCAACATGTTACTTTTTACAACTAAAATTCTTAAAAGGGCCGTATCATGCGTCTTAGCAGTGTGTACACGCTGAGCAGTGCTGTCAAACATACGGGGCCCCTCCGGGCAGCAAAATTGACCCACCCCTCATTTGCATCTTTATCGAACATTGAAAGCTGCAGCTGCATATATCTGGTTTTAAGATGTTATAAGTGATGATAAGTGGATATGGCTGAATATAGCATAATATACAGCAGTAGATAATTACAACGGGATAGTATTTTGATGTATTTTGCTGTATCGACACCAGCTCCAAGCCCTGCACTGCTCTCACATTCGCTGCTGATACTGCTAGACCTGCTAGGCCGAGGTTTTCTGCCGGCTGCGACATCCTCCTCTCTTGCAAGCCTCAAACCAAGGCCAGACTGCTAAGCCCAAAGTCCCCATGCAAAGTAACCAGTGCCATTTTGGTGCTGCTCAGTGCTCAGTGTTTGAGTTTGATGCCTCTTTTCTGCATTTGTTGAAATCAAATTGGGGCAAGCCTGCCTCCTTTGATGCCGATCGGATTTTTTTTCCAGTGCTTCCCGGTAGATCCTAGGGCAAACTCATAAGTTCAAAGCTCCATCCCAACCGGCATGACTCAAAGGCAAGATTGCAAAGTATTCGGGCCGAGAGTTGAAACAAAAAAGGAAAAGGAAAATGCTACTGCAGTTCCCATTCATGATTAAAGCCTCCCTTGAATATATGGATGAAAAGGATCAAAGTACTAACCTCTTTTAAGCATCATTATATAAATATCAATGGAATCATTGGTTTTATTGGTTTTACAGCAACTCTCACTCTACTTGCAGGTTCCCTTCCACAGGTCTCCGGACTTGCCCGAAGGACTTTCTCAAAGTTGAAGCAACTATCGCAATTATACACATCATCTACAGCTACCCCAACTATTTCGAACCTCCAACCACCTCCGGCCACTTGGATTTTTAGCTCAGGATCTGCAAAATCTTCTCAGCATCTTCTAAGCCTTTGGACTCCAATGCTTGAGCAGCAGTGGGTCTTCGCTCAGGCCCTTAGGCGCACCAGGAGCAGGCCATGAAGCATCCTTCAGCACAAAAAAGAAATCCCCGATCATTGAGCTTGCAAATTTGGAGATGGTGATAGTACGTTTTGATGATTGCTATCATGATAGGTATAATTCCCCTTTACAAATCCATACAAATCCCAATATCAACCGAACCTACGTCTCCATTTTAGATCCCTATGGGTTAATTATCTATAACCAATATTCGGTTGATTTATATCCTTACGGATCCTTATGATTATTTTAATTATTTTACATCCCAACTTATAACCCCCTGGTGATATCCCCAGGTGGATTTCTGAGGCGCGGACGCTTGTTCAAGAGCTCCAGGGCCAAGCTGGACAGCTGCCGATCCGCCGTTGGCAGTGCTGGTGGATCCTCGGTGGTGATCTTGTGCACCAAGGAAAGGACCTCAGGACGGCACCTGGTCCTCAAGGCTGGCCAAAGTCTAGGCGCTCAGAAGTATATGTGGTGGATGTTTATAAATGTTGATGTTGATGATGTTTATAAATTGGATTTTTAGGGGGAGCGGATCAAATATGTAATTGTAAACATGACAGGTTATAATTTCTTCATTTTCTTCTCTGGTCCACACTTTGTGATCTATTGCCTCCAATATCTCCAGTAAACACAACCCGGAAAACTCCGGGTATCGCAGGATAGGATTACTTGGATACTGGACGATCCCTCAATCAAGGTAGCTAGACATAGCTAGGTGATTTGTAAGTTGGTATAGCGGCAAGCGTGTGTATAGCTGATATCATGTCATGCAATAACACATCAAATCATATCGTAGCATGTCAGATCAGATCCCATTATCTATGGAATCACAACGAATCACGCAAGATGCTGAATTCACCGTCTGTTCCTTGGCGCAAGGCATTCTGCGCTTCAAAAGGCCTGCGCCTCAGAAAAGATATGAAAAGCAGAGCTGCGCATGGCAGCTGTCTGCGAAGGATAACCAACTTCAGCTCAAGAAATATCAGAAAGCCCACCATCCAAGAAGAAGACAATCAGAAACAAGAAAGAGACAGAAACGCCGCACAGATGCTAAGCAATAGCTGCTAAGATATTCTATGCCAAGCCCTGGACAGCGCCAGCAACTCGTACAAGACAACACCCACGCTCCACATGTCCGAGTAGGCCGTGCCGCCACGGCCATCCCACCATTCTGGCGCCATGTACATTGGACTTCCCACCTCAAACAGGCGCTCGGCGCTAGGGACGGCCCCAAACTGGAACGGTTGGAACGGTAATGGTTTCTGTGGCCCCGGGTCGATCTGACCAGGGCCCCGTTGATATGCATCACCCTTCCCAAAATGGTTTCAAGTGCATCATACCTTGTGAAGCCCTTCAATGCCCTTCAAGCAAAGAATGCGAGGAAGGTAATGACATTGTACCGATTGTGATTTTTATTGCTTATTGTTCTTGTATTATACTATACCAGTACGCATGTACATACATAATATAGATATGAGCTCCTGTCAAAATCCTTTACATCTCAGCAGTTACTGTACTATTATCGGTCGCTTTCCAATATTTTGTGCCACTGGAGGGGTCCCTATCGCTTTACAGGGTTTCATGCACATCTCTGACAAAAGTGCTTCAGCAATACTACACTTCAACCGTTTTGGCCGTAACTCATATATAATTTAATGTTTTAAAAAAATAAGTATGTAATTATGTATAATTGCACTTGTATCAATACATAATCATAATTAATAAATATAAATTATATTAAATTATATATATATATACATATCCATACATATCCCCAGAAGATTACTCAGCTGCTACCTCTTCAGTTGCACCAAGCAGCTGAAGTCATGGCTTTTTGTTGTGACTCCGAGAGCTGCTTGCTGACCCCGAAGTCGCCTAGAACAATGTTTCGAGCCTCGTCAGTGAAACGATATGACACTCATGCATCACCCAGAAGCATCCAAAAATGAAACACCCCCAAAATACATAGCATCATGTAGCATCTCACATAGTCAAAATATGGCATCCAGCTCTTAGGTCTGCAATCATGCAAGACAAGAAAAGCAGGAATTCAAACAACCTGGAAATCTCAAACCATGGGAATAGACTGAGAATCCATTACTACATCGCCGCACTCACAAAAAAATGGCGACAAATCATGACAGCAGTTCCATGTCATCGAATCCGCAGCCAAGCTGCTCCTGTTATGAACATGTTGCTGCCCTTGACATCACGATGGACGATTCGAAGCTTGTGCACATGCTTCAAGGCCATGCAGAGTTGTGTCACCCAGTTCTTTACTTTGCCCATGGGCAGCTCCAAGTCATTCCTGGCTCCACCGGCTCCACCGGCTCCACCGGGTCCACGAGTTTACCGCTGGACACAGCCAACATCAGCCAACTTGGACCTAGCCAACTTAGCCAACTTGAAGATATACCCACCTTTCCTTTCACATCATTGGTGAGATATGTATAGATTCTATAAATATGTATATATAGATACGTTGTATGGCTTAGGTGAGTTGAAACCCGGGCATTCGAAGCCCAGGGTGAAAACAACTCCATACAATTCCATGACAACAAAACTCTGAGGTGAAGCTGCCATATACATCCATATACCAGGATTACTGCAGAGGTGTCGACAAACTCAAACAAACCAAATGTGTTTCCTTGCGCGTTTCCCCGATCTCTCGCAACCTGCCAGCTCCCTCTTGAAGTCTCTGAATGACTACTGCGACCACGCGTCTCCCGGCAGGTGTCGATCTCGGTTTGTACATCTCCACCGGGATAGAACTTCAGGACAATCCAGTAGCTGAGCATATCCTACACAATCTACACATGAATAATCATGAATACATTGGAATACATTCGAATCATTCGAGGCATGCAAGATGTCAAAGAGATCCAACAACGCACTACTTCACCAGAAGATTTCATGGTCCAGGGATGTCCAGGGACAATGAAACGGAACGGGGACAATTTTCATCCGCCTTTGATGCCCAAACGAAGTCCACCAGCTGCGCGACGCACTCGTGGCGGACTTTCTGCAACAGCGCGATTTCTTCGAAGCCTTGGCGAGGTTTTGCTGGGCTATTTTTGAGGGCGGTGGCTTCTGCCTGATAGATTCCGATAGATTTGGCTGCAAAGGATTTTCGTGGGGTTCGGTTTTCACATTGCTTGCATCTAGCTATATCTAGCTAGAAAATGCTAGAAATGCTAGCATCAGAACGAGCTCGAAATGAGATTGAGATGAATTTGTTTCTTCGGAAAGGGCACGCGGCGACAAACTGGCGAATTAAATTCGCACTATGATTCCAACAGCCACGACATGTTGAGACATGAATCCAGCCAGGTACTTCCAAAGCAAAACACAGGAGTATAACAGCACATAACAACTACGCACCGTGTTGCCACCAAAATTAGCTAAGCTGTCAGACTGAAAATCACGAGTACAACGATCAAAAAATGTGCAGCCACAAGTGGCACATATTCCGTTGCTTCTCTTCCATGTCCTGCGGGTGAACAGCAAAAACTAAGCGGGCTTTCGTGCCTTCTTCAATGTTCGCGGACCTCCGTACTATTATGTAGTCCTTTTTTGATTCTCAATCAATTGTGCTCACCATGCCTCAATGTCCTCACTTCCCCACTTTTTCCAGAACATGATAGCACAATCTACAGTATCCAAAGTTAAATTGATATCATCCTGTGTTAGCCCAAGGTCGGGCCCTGTCATGGAGCGCCTTACATCCTTAAATAGGAGCATTTTCAGCAGGATGTGATTTGGGAAAACAAACATGTCACACACACGCATATATATATATATATATGCATATATATGCATATGCGTGTGTGTATGTATATATATATATATATGTGTGTGTATGTATGTGTGTGTATATGTATATATATATGCATATGCGTGTTGTGTATATATATATATGTGTGTGTGGATGTATATATGTGTATATGTGTATATATATATATGTGTGTGTGTAAATATACATATATGTGTATATATAGTATAATATATGCGCAGTATATGCGTGTGCGTGAAATTGTGTATTGATGAACTTCACTCCCAATCCCTACAGTACAGACCAAGAATGAATGTTTCAATACACAGACAGAAATCGTATACTCATAATTGCTCCTATCATATAAGATAATATATAACATATTATATTATGCTATTTTGTTTTTTATTTATTTATATATATATACACATACAATCAGCATTCATTGACACAAAAAATCACCCATCTATCTCCCTTTCCCTGTTTTTTGCCCCCTGCCTTCACCGAGCACTTCTTGGCCACCAGCCGTCGGCCATCTTTGATGCGGCGCACCAAGACAGCGGAGCCGAAGGCACCGGAACCCAAGTGACGGATCTCCTCCTGAAATGCCGATGGACCCATGATGACCCATGGCTATCATGTCATGGATTGGCACCAAAGATCTACAGGAAACATAGGGAAACTTGAAACTGAGGTCTTTACGAGTCTGGCCGTCTGGCCCTATCAAATAAGATCAAATAAGATCAAATAATCAGCAACACATTAGATCATCTTCCCAAGTCTTCCCAACTAGGTGATGGGGGAGTGTACCCTGTCCCCTTGGGTTGACGTGATGGGGATTCCAAGATATCCTCTATCAACCAGCATCACCTTTTGAACAGGTTAACTGCCATGTGAATCCACATGCAATAAAGAATTCTGTTTTACCAACCGAAATGCGTAAATACAAGGGGACTCCAAGCAAGAACTTGGATTCAGCCTTTGACTTGAACTGAATGGAGCGATTGTGATGATTCAAACGTGACGCGGACGCAACAAATGACATTGCACGCCGAAGCTGCGTAGTATTGCAAAGGGCTGAACTTGTTGGAGGTCTTTGTATCTGCTCCATCTGCCTCAGCAATGGTCCGGTGCAATTTAGAATCACCTAGTCCAGGAACATTTGCTCCAAAGTCTGGCAGTCTGGCACTGACTGAACATGCTGAACCTGCTACACTGCTACCCTCCTATCATTCCTGTTCAAGCATCCACAAACAATGCGAGGATCTGGTCGGGCATCTTGAGTGCACATCAAAGGTGGTCGGCAAGCCGCTGAGTCAGCAACGTGAGACTGCTCTTTGGCAGGCTGCCTCGATGGCTCTGGGTGCTGGATGTAGTGAAAATGGGAACATGAGACAACATAGGCACCCAAAAATAGGATGGTTTCATAAATTTTATATATATAATCTTATGCTAGGAAATGCTAGGAATGAGGCAATTTGTGTGGTTCCAAGTTTTGAAGACGGGGAATGTTGACACATACCTGCCCCTGACTCACGGGGGTTGCTCTTGATGCATGCTGTCCATATCCACATCTTCTGTAGAATGGATACCCTGAGAGTCTCGAGAGTCAAGAGGAAACACAACTTCTTCCTGGCGCCGTTTGTATACTTTTACATCTTTACCTTCAAAGTCCCTCCAAAAAAAATGTCCGGCATTCTAGAAAATACTCCGAAAGAAGCCAAGAAGCTTTTTCGGTTTTGCTTTGCTGGCAGCCAATCCAACTTTCGGCATGCTGCCCAGTTAGCACCATCTTCTTTGGATGGGCACCAGTGAAAGCGATACTGTCGGTCACTGCAAGTCACTGGAATTCTTGACCTTGAAGACTTCGAAACTGTTTCCTGTGTGCGAGGATGTTTGACACCTGCACCATGGTGAGCACGAATAATTCGATGGTCTTTCTGCCTGCTGGTCAAACTTCTTGGAATTTCTCCCTGAGATCTCTGGTTTGTAGTCAACTTGCGGCTGTCAGGCACACCGCTGTACAAAAGTCAACAGTTGCAATGCCCCATCAGACATGATTGCATGTTGCAATAATGAGACATGACAAGACTGTACTCGCCGAGTACTCGCTTCCTTTGCGCGTCCATCCAGTACCCCCAAAGATCCCAAAGGCGAAAATCCTTGCAAAGTACGTCCCAGGAACTAAAACCGCATGGAAACGCGCATCATGACTTTCATGACCCCCGTCCGCAGAGACCTTGCAAAATGTAATTTCTTATTGAAAACGCGACGTCTCATCTTCAGGCTTGGAAAAGGAAGGTTTGGGTGTCAATTTGTATGGAGACGCTGAACGTCATCGCATTTTGATATGTTGTTGCGGGTGCTTGCCTGCGGCAACAGCAACAGTAACAGCAGCAAGCAGGATGCAGCAAAAAGCAGCAAATAGGGGCAGAAACAAAGCATCCAACAGCTGAGCCATTCTTAGAGACAAGAAACAAATAGAAACAAACACACGTCAGAGCACTTCACTACCAAACCCAGGCAACAAAATAACAAGTGGAGACAGATTTAAAGTACAAATGCTGATCCTGGGGCTATACCGTGCTGCAAGTATGCATATTGGTGGCCACTCAGATGGTCCAAAGCCGCTGGTCTTTTCTTCCAATTGTTGGTGTGCGAGGTCAGTGGCGCTAGCCGTTGATAGGCTGAACACCAAATGCACAATACATAGTACGAGAAAATGATTTACGCTTCGCAGGCCATTGCCTCTGCGCTACGTCTGGACTTCCGACCAGGCTGGCAGATCCTCACAAGGTCATCCTCGGCTAAAGCTGGTATGGACGGTGCTGCACTTTGATGGATTCCGGGACGCACATCTGCAGCAGAAGATGTTGAAACCCGAGATGCAATGACAGCAAGAAAGTGAATAAGGTATCGGTTTCTCCTCTTCGAAATGACTGAAGCATACTGAAGCAAAGGAGGCAGTACCCGGTGCTTAGTGTCTGAGGAAAGTTGTGGCATTGGTTCTTCTGAGGCTCTGGCCATTCTGGTTGCTTTCCTATGACATTGGTTTGTCATGTCTGTCTCGTGTGAAGTTTTTCCTAGTAGCACATGGACTTGGAAAGGCCAATACTGTATGTGCTAACATCATTTATAATCACTACTTCCAGCTCAGCTCCTCAATGGAACAATTGTTTGTCTTTAAATCAGTTTAAATCATAATTTTATACGTGGGGGTGGTCAAGACCCTGACATGCAGGGTTTCACACCGAAATACCAGTCGCTGGTCCCAAAGGCGGCATGACCCATCTGTTTGCAGCCGCTTGGATGGCACATCTTGGCACCCTAGACCTACTCCATGATGCGGTGGCTCCTCCTCGGCCAGTCTTGGTCTTGGACGAACGCCTCGCCTGCACATGGGATCCATATGATATCAGAGCATGCCAGAACTTAGGCTGATCTAGAAAAAGAAGAAGAAGAAGAAGCCACCGTCAAAATGAGAAGAAAAGCAAACAAGCCTCTGCATATCCCGCATCACTTGTACAGTCGGAATTACACCAGTGCAATATGCAGAACGAGGGACTCCGGGCACACATGGGAAGCCTTGCGAGACTTGGTAGATGATCTCAACTCTTCTGTCTCTTTCTTCAGCTCCTTCTGCACATCCTTGGTGTTCTGGCCATCACAGCACTCATTAGAACCAACAACCCCGGACAGGTATGGTTGCATGAGCTTTGGAAGAAATGACGCATTAATAAGGGTAGGAAATAGATGGAAACAGCTTAAGGTTGTTTCTTAGTTTTGGTTTTTTTAAAGGATTCTGCAATTGATCACTTTCATCCTTCCAGTTTGTGCTTCTGAGGTGAGTGTGAGTTCTCGAACGCTGTCCTTGCTGCCGGATCTTGGCCCAACTAGGGGCTCCTTGAACCGCCGAACACGAGCTTCGGAGTGAAAACATCTCCAGCGCCATGGGTGATTGCTGAGCTGCCGTGGTGGCTTATCCTTGTGTTGTATCTGGTTTGCATTTCATCTATCTGGAGGACATCATCTATCAAATCCTTGGAAAGACCGCGCCAGTGCAACACAAGTTGCAGATTCCTGGCCGTGCCTATTTTCCATTCTATTTGCAGCACTGAGGGCTGGGATCTTACACTTTGCATGCGATTTGCCATCATTTTGCATGCTATGCACAGCCCTTTAAAGCTAGAATCTTCTATTTTGCATATTATTTGCAGCATTGTATAGTCGGAACTTTCCTTTTCGCATGTTATTTGCAGCATTTTGCAGCTGGAACCTTCTATTTTGCTTGCCAGTTGCAACATTTGGAAGCTGGAACCCTCCATTGTGCTTGCCAGTGCAACATGTGGGAGCTGGAACCTTCGATTTTGTATGATATTTGCATATATGTCAACCTCTTGGGGGTGGGACTCTTCCATTTGGCATGCTATTTGCAAGTTGTTGTTAGTTGTTGGTTGTTGGTTGTTATCTTTTAGTTGTGGGTTCTTGTTTGTTTTGTTATTCTTGTAATTGTAGCTGTTGTAGTTGCCGTAGTTTTTGTTTGTGTAGCTACAGTTGTAATTATATAGGTGTAATACAGTAGTAGTTTTTTTTGTTGTTGTTGCTTTTATTGTTGTGGCTTTGTTGGTGGTCTTTGTTTGGGTGCAGGCCCTGTTTGTGATTTCCTTACAATTGTGGCTTTGGTTGCGGTGAACACGTCAACACAAACAAAGCCATGAAGTCAAGAAGCCGGTAAAACTTAGCAAAGCCAAGAAGAAAGAAAACTGGCGAAACCATCAAGGCCAAAAAAGCAGCGAAACAAACAACAGAGTGCATTGTGGAGATAGAACCTCTCATTTTGCATGACATCTGCGACATTTGGAAGATAGACCCTTTCATATTGCATGATATTTGCAGGATGTTGCAAATGATGTTTGCTGCATTTTGAACTTCAACCTTCCATTTTTTTTTACTCACTAACACTCCTGCTGCATGACCCACTCTGCGTCTCACGCGCCAATGGACTTTGCCATTGGGGAAGGCTATGTACAGCCACACCGGTCACCGCGGGAGGCGACTATCCGGTGGGCGTTCATGCCACCGGACGTCAGCCAGGGTCGCGGCGAACGGCGGGGGCTCCCCATCGACGCCGGGCGCGGCCGCGGCCGGGAGTTCGAGGAGAGTCTCGGCCAGGGCGCGCTGCGCCGCGACGGATAGGAGGCCGGCCCAACGGTGCACGTAGGCCTGAACTGCCGCCGAGCGGAGGAGTGCTGGCGCAGTGCAGGCGCGGGCGTGCGCCAAGGCTCGGAGGAAGTCGGCGGCTTCCTCGCCCCAACGACCTCCTACTTCGAGACCCAAGATGATTAGGTGGCAGCGGCGCGAGCCGGAAAACTCGGGGTAGGTGTGTTCCCGCTTGCGCTGGGAGGCTGCCAGGATCGCCGCGCCCGGGTTCGCGTCGGAAGCGTGGCGCACCTGTCCGGTGCGGCCAAGGGGGCTGACGAGGGTCACGTCGACTGCCAGCTGAGCCCCGTGCCAGAGCGGCAAGTCGTTTGCGAGGACTTCAATCTGGCGTGCGTCGGTGACCGGGACCGCGAGGTTCATGCGCGAGAGCGGCACGTTGACCGCGACGCGGGCACCGGCCT